AAAGCCACAGTACATAGTTGTATGTTTCTAGTTGTAAGTCCTTCTAGTTCTATGTAAGCTGCTGCCACAGCATGGCTACTGACAGACGAGTGGTGTGATTCCACGCCCTGGAACCAAACCTGGGCCGCCGAAGTGGAACACACCGAACTTTAACCACTAGGCCATCAGGGCTGGCTCAAGAAATATTTTCTGAGACTAAAATAGGATCATGAGATGTGAATGTTTGTTCCCTGGGTGGCAGGAACATAGAGATTACAGACTTTTCTCCTTTATCTCCTGTCTGCGCCCAGTAAGCTACAAGAAATCATTTGGGCTGGGAATAGTCTGTGTCCTCTCTGGAGGAACCCTGGGCCCAGTGGACAGTCAGACAGAGACCTGGGCAGAGACGCTCACCCTCAGAGCAGCAGATGCTGGAATGAAGGGTGGGGACACAGAACAGGCACACACCTGGGGGGAGAGTGGAGACAGAGGGTGAGAGATGTGGAGAGGCAGGGGCACGCACCTGTCATGATTCCCACGTAGCAGTAGCTGTAGCTGAGTGTCTCCATCAGAGAGGGAACGTCAGGCAGCAGCCCCAGGCTGGGCCCCTTGCTGAAGCCAGAGGCCATTTCCTTCCTCTGGGCCAGGTGCAGGTCCTGTACTTCACTGGCCAGACTCACCAGCTGGGAGGAAGGGGCAGGGGCGGGGGACAGGTCAGAGCCCGGAGCCTTCCTCACACCCTTCTCCCTTACGCTACCCCTCTCGGCACTCAAGGGCTGCAGGGGCGTGCAGCTGGGAGCTGAGGTTGTACTCCATGGGCAGCTCTGGGCATTTAGTCGTGAGTTGCAGCTTCTTAATGCCTCTAGCTGGTGGGTGTTCCCCAGGGCTCAGTCCTGGGCCCTCCCATCTTCTTTCTGTGCTCTCCTGCAGTCTGTGGCTATAGATACCACCCACTGTCATGACTCCCAAACTCTACCGCCCGAGCTAGACTTCTTCCCCAAGCCCCAAACCTATTCAATCAAGTTGCCTTCTCATTAATACTCGGATGTCTACCGGGCACCTCAAATCTAACACATGCAAAGTGGAACTCAGTATTATCCACTCCCTGAACTGGCTCCTCTTTCAGTCCCTCCCCTCAGGAAAAGCCACCACCATCCAATTAATTGCTCAGGCCAGAAACCTTCCTCAATGCCCGGATCTAATCCCTTAAGTCTCTCAAGTCTGTCTCTTTTGTTGTGCCTCCACCACTGGGCTGAATATGTTCGGCCTGCCCCTCCAGATCTACTCTCTACCCTTCTCGGCACAGACCAATGCCAACCCTACAAGAGAGAGCCCCAGGCAGAGAGGGAGGAAGGCAGGAGAGTGACTCCCTTGCAAGATCCCCTCGGGCTCACCATGACCCTAGATGTGTCTTCTCAAGGCCAGTGGCTCTACACGACTCTTTTTCCTTCTGGGTTCCACTACCTGCCCCTCCTCTCATCCCCTTGGGCCCAGGGTTGGTACCAGCTTCCCTGCTGCTGGTCCAGGATTCCTGCACTGTCCCTTCTGGCTCCTCCACATCCTGCCCACATCATCGTAAAGAAAAAAGCTCCTCAAATTATCCTAAATGTGATATTTCCTGTTGGGACTCTGACCTACGCAACAGCCTGCATGAAGCCGCCATTGTTTGTCACCTGGATTTTGATAAAGGAATCCTACCTCATCCCATCTTGCCTTTTCTACTGCATTTCTCCTCGCAGAATCCAGAGTGAGTATTTTTAAACATGTACTTCTGGTCACATTACATCTCTGGCAAGAAACCAAAAAACCTCTTCCAGTGGATCTTGGGCCCCCACTGGAAGAAGTCTGAACTCCTCACCTTGGCCAATAAGACCCTGCGTGGTGTGGCCCCTGCTCCCCTTCTTCCTGGTCTTGATAAAGAGTCCACGTCGCTGGCACACAGTTGATGGAACTCAGCCTGCTCCCTTCTACACACGCTGGTCCCTACATCCTGAAAGGCTCTTCCTCCAACTCTTCTCTTAGCTAACTAACTCCTGCCAACCCTTGAACTCCCATCCTAAAGAGACCTGGTTCACTATCTCGCATGAGTGTTCTGTTCATTGATATGTCACCAGAGCCCAGCACATAGTAGGAACTCGTGACTTTTCGGTCTGGGAATCTGTTTTCACCCGTCTTCCCAGGTGATCTAGAGCCAGACGTGGGTGTCCTGGTTTCGTGCCCTTCGAAAAGCGCCTTCTCCCCAAGCTGGTTTTCTTCCTTTGCTAAATGTCTTGCTACAAAGATGCAAGGCGAGCATGTTGATAAGCACTTAGCCTCTGGCACACCTCAAACACCAGATGGCACCCACGGTTACATAACTCAGGATACTTCTTTACCCCAGGGAGAGGCAGAGAGGGGAAGTCCTACCCCAGGGTGTGGGAGATAAAATCCCCACCTCCTCAGCTCCCCATGGAAGTGGCTGCGAGGAGGTGAAGTTGGGGAGGTTAACTGGTGCAAAAGGAGGTCTGGAGGGTAGTCTGACCTTCAGTGTCAGCAGCAGCTGGACGGCATTGGTGAAGGGCGTGGGAGTGGGCAGGCCCAGTAGGCTGAGCGCACGGAAGAACAGGAGGTAGGAGAAGGTCCAGGCTAGGGCCAGGGCGTGGCAGGAGCTGGGGCAAAGGCAGGAGGCAGGCTGTGTTGGGCACAGGGACTTCGCCTCCACCTCCCCCAGATTCCAGCTACAAAATCCTCCCCCACCTCCCCACCAGAGACAGAAAATACAGGTTGCGGGGAGGTGGGGCTGGGGCGATGAGCATGATTAGAACAGCAGAAGATGCACAGCAACAGAGAAGAGAATGAGAAGGGGTTATGAGTAGCTTCAGGGTGAAAACCCTTCAATCCTCTGTATTTTCTGGCAGGCAGGGAGAGAGAAAGAGAGACTATGAATATGAATGGTGACAGGGCCAGCAACAAGTAATGTCCTCTCTCCTGAATCCATGGCATGGATGTAAAGGACTGGGACAAACACAAAGGGACAAGACCCAGAAAAAGGCAAGTGAGGAAGAAAAACAGACCAAATGACACAGAAAATTCAGATAAACAAGAGACATCCAGAAACTGAGGCATAAACGGAAGACCCAAAGAGGAAACAGGTTGCTTCCTCCTCCATCTCTGTTCTCTCTCTCCTCCCCTCCCACCACCTTACCAGGGCTGGGCCTGAATGAGCGCCCAGGTCCCAAGAATGGTGATCAGAGAATGCAAAGTGTGGGGGCCACAGGTGAACAAGGTGAGCCCCAGGCCCACAGCTGCTGCCCCCCATCTCTTCAGCCCAGGTCCTGCAGGGAGAAGGAAGAGCATAAGCCTGGAACTTTCCAGGGGTCCCCCCCACCTTTATTTTGCACTGGGGAGAGAACCTGACTCACCAGCTTTCTTAAAGAGGAAACCAATGGGGATGGAGATAAGAAGGACCACTAGATACGTCCATTCTTCAGGCGACATGGTCTGGGGGAGGGGCGGAGGTTCGTCCTGAGAACCCAGGAGTCTGGGCCCCCAGCCCCTCCCCCTTCGAGGATTCAGGAACCCACCCCCTTAATCCCCAGTTGTGGAGAATCATGCAGTTCTACCCTCAGCTCCTCTCCTCTGAGGACATAGGAATCCGGACCTCCAGGCCCTTCCTCCTTCGAGGATAGAGGAATTCACCTCCAACCCCTCTCTTCTGAGAACCCAGGAATCCAGATCTCCCAGCCCCCTCCTCCTTCGAGGATCCAGGAATCCAGCCCCCCTCTTTGTGGATGCAGAAATCAAAGGTACCCTTCCCCCGCAGTGAGAACCCTGGTATCTAGACATCGCTCTAGTGAGAACCCAGAAACAAGCCTTCTCCCGGGCCCTTCCCTTTGAGAGCCCAGGATTCCAGCCTCCTCCTCCCTCGAGGATCCAGGACCCCAGACCTCCAGACTCGCAGCCCGTCTTCGAGAGCACTCAGAGGAGCCCAGGCCTCCAGCCTCCCCCTCTTTCGGAGCTCCGGACCCTTCTCCGGCCTAAACCCCGGAGAGCAGGCCCCCAGCCGGGTCTTCTCGGGTCCCCTCCCCAGCCCCGCTCCGGCCGCACGCACCCCGCGCGGGTCACATCCACCCCCGCAAAGCCACAGGCGGTTACGCCACCCCCGAGCTCAGCCGCGCTCCCGGCGCCGCCCCGCACCCGTCAGTCTGCCGATCTGCAGCCACCCCACCTCGTCTCCGGGCCCCACTCCCGGGCCCACCTGGGCGCGCGCCGGTCAGGAGGCGACCGAGCTGTCCTGACCCGCGGTCCACCCCGGGTCCAGCCACGCCTCCCCGACCAGCACGCCCCCGGCTCTCTCGGGGCCGGCCGGGCTGCGCGGTCCGTGGCCGGGCGCGGGGCCGCTTGCCGGGCTCCGGGTCGAGCGGTAACACAGCCAGGACCGGCGCCGGGAGCACGAGTCCGCCGCCGCACCAGGAACCGGGATCTGCGAGCCGCGAGCACGTAAATGGGCGGGGCTTCGGGCTCGGAAAGAGGAGGGGCCAGAGCTTCGGGCTCCAAGGGAACGCGACGAGACCCGGGAGGGAGGCGGGGCCTGGAGCTCAGTGTTCGGAAAGAGGCGGGGCCTCCGCTTCGGGCTCCTTCGGGCAGAGTCGGGTGGCCGTTTGGAAGCGGGGCCACAAGCTTCGGAGATAGTCGAGTACTAAAAGTCTGTGTTCGGAAGCAGGCGGGGCCCAGAGCTTCGGCAGGAAGTGGGCGGGGCCATAGCTTCGATTTCTTTCGGAGACAGTCCGGTACAAGTGACCCTGGTCCGCTGTTAGGCAGAGTCTCGTGTTTAGGAGGGAGGCGGGGCCACCGACTTAAGCAACACCAAAGAGGCGGTGATCCCAGGCGTTCCAAAGGGGCGGGGCAAACAGCGCCCTACCTGTTTAAAGGGCGTGGCCCCGGGTTACGTCAGCCAAAGGGGCGAGGCCAGGGTAAGCAGCTTCCCATTCCCAAGTCGCTGAACCGAATAGGCGGAGGTAGGTGCGTTTCGGGGGGCGGGGCGAAGGTATTCCACCCTGGGGGAAGGCGGGGCTACGGCCCTGCGGGGCGGATCCTAGACTTCCCGCTTCGCTGAGGTGGCGCCATGACGAAATTGACGCAGGGGGGTCGGCATGGCGGGGGGTGGAGGAAGCAGCGCGTGGCGCGCTACGTAGGGGGTGGCTCCGCCGGGGCTGCGAGTTGCTGTTTCCGAGGTGACTAGCTGGTTCTATCAGAGGACGGTGCGGCATTCTGAAGGGAAGCGAGGAGGCGGACCGAGCGCTCACGAGCGGGGTGAGCCCCCCCGAGCGGACAACGGACGGCGGTTGCTCAGGGGGCGGGGCTCCAGCTGCGGGGTTCGGTCGTGGGGCAGGAACTCCCCAATGGGGGAGCGCTTGCGGTCCGAGGGGGCGGGCCTTAGGCTGCGGGATGACGGGAGCCGATGACGGCCGAACGCCGAACCACTTACGTTCGGGAGAGGGCGGGGCTGTGCATTCGGCTGAGCCGAAAGCTCCCGAACGCCGAACCGCTTACGTTCGGGAGGGGGCGGGGATCTGCATTCGGGTGAGCCGAGAGCTCCCGAACGCCGAACCGCTTACATCCGGAAGGGGGCGGGGCTCTGCATTCGGGTGAGCCGAGAGCTCCCGAACGCCAAACCGCTGATGTTCGGAAGGCGACGGGGCTCCGGATTCGGCCGAGCCGCGGACGTCCGAACGCCCGAACCACTCTCGCTCGGGCCGGACGGGGATTCGTACCGTGCGAGTCCGACTCCGAGCGAGAAGGCCCTGAGGCCGAACCTCGGTGGTTCGGAAAGGGAGGACCAAAGTCCGGAGCAACCCGTAGTGGGCGTGGCTTCGGCTGAGCATTGGCCTCCGGCGGTCCCGACACCTCACGGGAACACCGAAGGGAGACGGCCACTTGGCGAGGGGCGGTGCCAAAGTAGACCTTTCGAGGGGGGCGTGGCCCCTCGCTGGGGGAGGCTTTTCTCTGCGGAGATGGCAGTATTGGCCCAGACCCGAATGCTGACCGAAGGGCCGAGCCGAGCGGAGCCCCGACGGCTCGGCGAGGGGCGGGGCCTCGTCTCTGGCTGCCCCGGGGCCTGGCGGGATTGCCCGGGGGCGGAGCCCGGCGCTCAGGGGGCGGGGCCTGGCCCTTCGGCTCGGCAGGTGGCTGACCGCGGCCCGGGGCGAGGCTCCGCCCCCTGAGGCCCGGCGGCGGGGCCTCGCGGAGACCCCGGAGGTGGCGAGTGCGCCGCGGGCGGGTGTGTCGGTGACCGCTGTGTCCCCCGGCCCCTGCAGGAGGATGCTGGTGGTGGAGGTGGCGAACGGCCGCTCCCTGGTGTGGGGGGCCGAGGCGGTGCAGGCGCTGCGGGAGCGCCTGGGCGTGGGGGGCCGCACGGTGGGCGCCCTGCCGCGCGGGCCCCGCCAGAACTCGCGCCTGGGCCTCCCGCTGCTGCTGATGCCCGAAGAGGCGCGGCTCCTGGCTGAGATCGGCGCCGTGACCCTGGTTAGCGCCCCGCGCCCGGATCCCCGCCAACACAGCCTGGTAAGAGGGCGGGCTGGGGGCGCGAACTCCCTGGGCCTGCGGAAGAGAAGCTGGAGGCCCGGACTCCCGGGCCCTGCGGTGGGAGGGGTCTGGGAGTCCTGGATTCTGGAATAATGTGAGCAGGAGACTGGGATCCCGGGGCGGGGGCCCTGGAGTTGGGAGGGGCCGGGGAGTCAGGATTCCTGGCTTCCTAAGGAAGGGCACGCCTGCATCTTGAGATTCCAGCTAAGTTTACTTCTCAGACTCTGGCATCCTTCAAGCGCCAGCAAGAGCAGGGCTTCCAGGAGCAAAGCGCCCTGGCAGCTGAAGCCCGTGAGACCCGTCGTCAGGAGCTCCTCGAGAAGATTGCAGAGGGCCAGGCTGCGAAGAAGCAGAAGCTGGAACAGGATTCAGGGACGAGCGAGAGTCAGGAGGCCAGTGGGAACCCAGCTGCCGGAGAGAACGACGCCAGCGCTAGCCAGGCTTCTGGAGACCACGAGGAAGCAGGTGAAGGTGGGAGTTAGAGTCCAGGAGTGGGGGAAGGAGGGAAAACATCTTTTCGGAATTTTGGCTGGGAATCTAGGGCCTGGGTCTCCCCTGGGGATGGAAAGACTTTGCCACTTGGATTCACCAGACTGTCTTGGATTCACCTCCCCCAGGCTCCTCCTCTCCCCAACCAGGGCCTTCAAATGGAGTGGCCCCCTTGCCCAGGTCCGCTCTGCTCGTCCAGCTGGCCACTGCTAGGCCTCGACCCATCAAGGCCAGGCCTCTGGACTGGCGTGTCCAGTCGAAAGACTGGCCCCATGCTGGCCGTCCTGCGCATGAGCTTCGCTACAGCATCTACCGAGACCTGTGGGAGAGAGGCTTCTTTCTCAGTGCTGCTGGCAAGTTCGGGGGCGACTTCCTGGTCTATCCTGGTGAGTTTGGGTTGGCACCTCTGGTTGCTGCTCCTTCACAATCCCACCACATTCTGCATTTTTCCTTTTTGTCTCATTTTTCTCAGCCTCTGAAACCCATGGAAGGATGGGAAACACTTGGGAACCTAAGCTCATTTGGAGGGCAGTTTAGTAAATTTTTATTTTATTTTATTTTATTTGTGAG